ACTACAAGAATGAGTGGTAGTGTGACAGTGGTAATGGTGACAGTGGTGGTGGTGCTGAAGGGGGTGGGTGTGACAGCACGAACAGTGGAGATGGTAGAGGAGGTGGTGGTGGGAATGACGGTGGGAATGAGTGCAGGGGCACTGATCGTCTTTGTGATCATGGTGGTGACGGTGGTGGCAGCTGTGAAGCTAACGGGCTGATGGAGGTAGTAGTGTTGATAATGACGAGCAGAAGCAACACCAGTAGTAGTGGAGACGGTGAAATGATGCTGCTGCTGTGAAAGATGACAACAGAGTGCTATAATATTAAAAGTCGTGGTCATACAGACATGGGGCACTGGCATCCATAATAAAGGAAACAGGTGTTGAGTGCACAGAAAAGGGCCGGGGATTCAGCTCAGAGGTTCCGCTGCCTGCCTCGCGAGCACAATGACTTGAGTTCAATCCCCAATACCAAAAAAGGAAAGAATGCAAAGAAAAAAGCAACTCCAGACCTAAGTGGTTACAGAGCTCACAGAAACTAGATGAGAGTGAGGGCAGCACTCACAACAATACTGTCCAGGCCGGGTGGCCTACAGGGCTTCACTGAGGCCTGTCCGCCCACAGCACTGTTCTGAATCTCAGCCTTCCCCATCCATTTCATTTTGGATTTCACAGGATTGTAATTTCCTGCCTGCACTTGAAAGAAAGAGAAGAGGAGGGAAGTGAATACACCACAGCAAGTTCCCGTCACCCACCCTCCGAAAGCTGTGGGGAGATGGCGGGGCTCCACGGGTCATACCTGCCCCAGCGCTCCGACACTGAGCCCCTCCCCACCCAAGGGACATTTGTCCTGTTGTGCCACAGATAACAAAGTAAGCAATTAGACTCAGAAAACAAAGCAATTTTTTAAAAAAATAATCGGTGCGTCTCAGTCTAAGCAGAGAGTAATCACATCTATGGCCTCTCCAGAACTCAAAGGCATTTCTGAAACTCATTCTAGCAAAAACAGGTAATGTGGACTCAAACCAGATTAACTCCATATCCACCAGCCAAGGTCTTGGCTGAATCACCTCCACTGTCTCATATTTAATTGACTGGGGATTAAGCACAATGAGGGCAGCAACTAAGGTCACCCTCCCCCATGCCTTCCTTTGGATTTTATTTGGTTTCCAGGTGTGACACTATGCTGAGCAAGAATGTGGCTTTAAAGTGTGGCATCTATATGTCCTGTCCACAACCAGCTCTCCAATGATGATGATAGTGATGGTTGTGCCACCAAGGCCTCCCAGGTTGGACTGGATGGCCTACTTCTCAGGACAAGCTCACCCTCCAGGAAAAGAACATGCATCCTCCTAGGGCTGCAAATACCAAGCATCTCCTGCAATCATCACCCTTTCCTCAGCTTCTCCCTCTTCTCTTGAACACCTGGTCACCTAACCCTAACCTCATACCATCACCTTGGACAGGATGCTCCCGAGGTTATGTAGCCCACGCTTACAGGGCACCACCGTATGACACTGAGCTAAGTGCTAGAGGTTCATGATCAATGAGCTTCGGTCCTATCCTCAGTTTTTAGAACAGCAAGGGAGATGGAAATATAACACATAATGCAAACATGATTGGAAAGTGAGGGGTTTTATACTTTTTTTAAAAAGTTAAGCTCAGAACAACATGGGCCACAGAACCTACTGTCAGAAGTTTCTTAGGAGAAATTATATACAGCTTGGCTGAGAACCTCCTTCCCATCCAAGGTTGAGCAAGAATCGCAAAGCCTAAGCATCCCCTGCTGAAGGGACCCACAACAGTCTCCCCAGTCCTACCATGGAAGCTTACTAAGTCAGCTTTAATTCAAGTTTCTTAGGGAATTTAATTTTCTGCGTTCCTCAAAGAGCTTTCATAACTCTTCTGTAATCCATACAGGACACAACAGGGATTACATGGAGTGAAATATCCTAATTCATCATGGAGTGCAACTAAATGTCATAATAACTTAATCAGATACTAATATTACAATCATGCTGAAGATAGTAATTCAGCCGGGGATTTAGCTCAGTGGTTCTGCCACTTGCCTTGAAAGCACAATGACCTGAATTCAATCCCCAGTACCAAAAGAAAAAAAAAACAGTAATTCAGAAATCTGGGCATCAGGTACCTACTTCAAAACCTGCAAAATGCTGTCTCACTTATCTCCCCCTTTTAGGGCCAAACAAGCAATGTAACCTGCTGGGGTTGCTCATTAGATCAGGGATCTCGTGGTTGGTTATGGAGAAAGATATTAATCTCCACAGACCCAAACCAGCATCATTACAAAATCTGGAAGAAAATATTCTATCCTCTCTACCTTCCTTTGCTCTCTCCTTCCCTCCATGCTTCTGCTCCATTTTTTAAATCTTTTCTTTCAACACAGATTCACTGCCTGATGTGGACCTGGGTTCCAGGCTTATTAATTATTAATTATAGTGCCATCCCTGCCCTCCAGAGGCAAACAATCTCATTGGGGTGGTAAAAATAGACCACAACATCGAAAGCTATGGTGCGAAGAGGTTCATTCAGTCAACCACCAGCACTCACGGAGGGCTGAACCAGGCATTGTGCTGGGCTCTCGAGACCCAAAACAGTGAACAAGACCTAATTGATCCTTGTGGGAGAGCTGTCTAGTGGTAAACAAGATCACTGAGCTGCAAAACGAAGTGTCCTCTCAGTCGGGGAAAGAGATCCTGGAGGGGGAATCTGATAAGAGTATTAAAAGTCAAAAAGATGTTAGACAAATTGAGGAAGAGAACACTAACAGATAAAGAAAAAAAAAGCACTATAAAAGACATGAAAGCATTAAAAACATCCTAACTTGGAGGATGTGGGGTTGTTAAATTGGTCATTGACTACTGGGCAGAAACTGAGTGACAAAAGCCTTCCTATATTAAGAAATCTGGACTTGATCATGACATGGGGACACTGAAGATTTTTAGAGTAGTGACATGATCAGGGCAAATCTACTGTACTCGAGAGACACAGATGGTGGGAGTAATGTCAGTTCTATAATATTGTTATGCAGGGACGATGCAGGTACCATGGACACAGAGGGCCGATGATTGAGAATCAAAGAGCAGCCCTTGGGCCAGAAATGAGGCTGACAATCCTGTCTGCCTTCCCAGGAGAAAGTAAACTGGTTCTTAAGAAAGAGTGGGGAGTAAGGAGAAGTACTGAAATCTATGAAAGGCAGGAGTTATGAGGAGATGGGGCATACACATTCACATATGTGTATACATCAGATACATATACAGGCAAATGAAACATCACACACGTGTCACAGTGTACACATACACAGGAAAATATGTACATACCACAGACAAAGACATGTATCCATTATATACATGCACACATACACAAAAGTAATGTGAGAACCAAAGCCCAAATCTGAAGAAACCCACTGTTTTCCCAGTTGCTTCTTTCTTCCGCCTCCCCCATCTCTCAGGTACCTGACTATCGAGCATTCCAAGTGACCGCTGTTCCCAATGCCCTCCCCCAATCTTTCTGCTCCCTGTCCTTTCCTTCTTCATGCCCCCATTCACACACCAAAGGGTTGTCTTGTGGGACTTCTGGCCCAGAAACCTGTGAAGGTAAGATGACATTTAAGGAGATTTTATCCTTAAAGGAGCATTTGGGAGGAAATCAAGGATTCTGTGGAGTCAGATCAAGTCTGGAGAAAAGCACAGGGTTATGCACAAAGAAGTCAGGGGAGCTAAGAAGAAAGGGGTAGGAGAAAGGAAGGTGGTCCACACACAGCAAACCTTTCTGCTCGCCTACTATACTGCATATACAGGGCTGGGGATTTAGCTCAGTGGTTTTACCACCTGCCTTGCAAGCTCAATGGCCTGAGTTCGATCCCCGGTGACAAAAAAGTAAATAAATAAAAATAAAAATGAATAGACTGCATATACAAAGGAAGACACAGTCTTTCTTCCCCCTTTAGAGGTAGGTCATGGAGATAGGTAAGACACGGAAAAATTCAACAGAGTTCTCAGCATCCACACATTGTGAGAGCTAGTAATGCGAAGTGGTAAGAAGATGAGAGGGCAATAGAGTACGGCTGCTAAAACTAATCGTAACAGAGACCAAGGAGGGACATGGGGGTATTTGCATGACAACAGTGCCACATGAAAAGTCAGCACCTAAGACTGAAGAGTTTATATAGAGAGGAAGTATAAAGAGCAAGATAAAAATACTTACCAAAATTTTAATACTAGTTGTATTTTCAAATCTGTAATGAAGCTGCTTTGTTGTTGGTATTTGCTATGCTATGTTTGGTTTGGTTTTGTTTCTACTTTGTAACAGAAAGACCTACAGGAGGACAAGAGGGCCAGTTCTACCAGAGGGTCTTCACTGCCCCTAAAGCAGATACACACGTACAGGCATAAGCACGCAATAGCACAAATTAATCCTTCCTTTGTGGTCCAAATGCAAGAGGTTCTAAAGCATCTTACATGCTGAGCCACATGCCTTTCTTAATCCATGCAATTATATCCACCCTTGGTAATGACACTCTGCACGACACGTGCCAACCTTTGTCACCCAGCCCTCCTGCTGTATTCCTCCCTCCTCCTCATACTTTGCTCAGGTAGAGAAATACTCTTGGGAGAAAAGTTCCTAAAATGCCTCTGAAGTGAGTCTGAGGCTGGCACCCAAAAAGGGAGGAGGTTTCCATGTTGTCTTCTAAGAGACCCCGGACTCTTTCATCATCACACCCAGTGTCCTCCCTGCTTCTGACTCTCCTCTTCTCTCCCTCCACTGTGACCAGAGAGGGGCCATGCAAAGGAGACGCCAAAAGGATTAGAATGGGGGTGAGTTATGCTGACTGTGTAGATGAGCAAACTGAAGTCTGGCGGACAGTTCCTTGCCTAAACTCACAGATTATTGGTGTTTGGTACTGGCCCTACAAGATCCTGAGATCTCAGAAGAGGAAAGATTCTGATCTCACCCTTCAGAACACACCAGAGGCTAACAAAACACACAGCTCCTACCTCTGCTTCAGGGCTAACACAGAAAGCTCTGGATCCAGTGGACCATATGCAGCCAGAGTCTGAGACAGCCTGATTCAACTGACATTCCAAAAGCTAAGAAACAAGAGACAGAGAATCAGGCACCTTGGATGAAAGGTGGAGGTGGGGGTGGCAAGGAAAGCAGTTTGCTGTTACTGGTTTATTTAATTTATAGTTTCCATGGGAATTTAAATCAGATTCTATTTTCCTTTGACTAAATTCTTACCTTCTTCTTGGCTGATCAACAAATACGTATCAATATTTACTCCAAGGTTCAGCTCTGGGTTAGGTTAAGATATGAAAACTTAAGGGATCTAAACTCATCAGGATGAAGCTCCTAGCCCAGAAAGGTTGGTCCTTAGGAGCCAGATGTGAACCATAGTTACTTACTTTTTAGCTTTAGGATTATCTGAAGACATGGACAGCCAAATGAAGTCACTAGAGACCCAACAACCCCAACTAAATTGTAGTCATTCTTACTTTTTTACAGTGGGAAGGCTTGCTCAAGTCATCTACTTGATTTCAACAGGCTCAGATGATGAAATAAAGAGGATAATCAACAAGTCTGATGAATAAGGTTTACTGACCTTAGCAGAGATTGGATCCACATGTGGTCTTCAATTGTAAACGCTGTTTGCTACCTGTGGGCAAGAAAGAAGTCACATCCAAAGCCTAGAGCCACAGGGAATTCCTGAAAGTAGCATTTAAGAATCAAAACTGGATTTGAAACCAAAGTGGAAACAGCTCTTACCACACTTTGCTTTTCAATGATCCCCAGTAAAGGGGAAATACCGCATTATAGGTCACCAAAGGTGACATGTGCTTACAAGGCATAGATTAAAATGTTTAGGCCAAAGATGCCAATAGGCTCTAAGACTTAATTGCATGTGATCTTTTCTTTTTGCCATACTGATTTTCAGGTTGTTTGCCTAAGGACTCAGTTAAGACAACAAAGATAATCCACCCAAGGGATACATGGGGACTAGCTGTACACCAACATTCTTAGACCACCACCAACTATTACACACCCAAGAGGCCTCAAGCAACAGTCTCTAACCCAGAACAGGACTGGGGAAGACAGGCTTCACGGCTCCTCCTTCCTCATAAAGTTTATATATAGGAGGGAATGTAGGCCCTGCACCCTCAGGCTACAGAACAGCTTGCTTACCTGCGAAAGCTGGGATCTGCCACATGAGCAGTTTACAGCATGTCTGGAGGCTAGTGAACACAGGTCAGCGTCCTTCTTCCGCTTGCTGGGCTCAGCTTCGAAACCCTTACTGTCATTCCCACTCACAGTGGCAGCTCTAAGAGGACCTCTTATCAGGAGAGAGCAGAAAATCACAACCCAATGCACAGTGGAAGGAATAATGACAGTGGCGTATATGGAGCTAGGTTCTAACTTCTGTCATGCTTCATATCCCTAGAAAATAGTTTATCCTCTCTAGGATGTGGGTTCTTCATCAAGCTTGGCAAATTATAGGGTCGAATCTCTATATGCCCTCCAGCACCTGCAGCCCAGCAGTGCATTATACTGTTCCAGAGCAGCCGGGAACATTCACGAAAGCACCCTGTTCCTTGCCTCCCAAAGGGTATGAACCTGAGTGTGTGTGACTGGGAGACATTCCTTGCCCCATTCCTATAGATTCCAAAAGAATAGATACACTGTGCAAGCAAAGAACGCAAGAGTTAAAGTCAAAAGACTTAAGTCTAAGTCCTAGATTAACCACTTTAAAAGCTGTGAGAATTTGGGGAAAGTCTTCAGTCTCTTCAAGCTACTTGTAAATCCAGAAATGAAGATAACAAGTCCCCAGGCATGCAGGGCTGCTCTGAGGTTAGAACACAGTGACCACTGCCTATAAGCCAATGAGTCTGCCCACACAGGAAGCGTCCATGGTTCTTATCTATGTTGTCCACTTGAAACTGAAGTGGAAACAGCTCTTACCATGCCTTGCTTTTAAATGATCCCAGTAAAGGGGAAATACTATGGTGGGCAGCTGTAGTGCTGGTTGTAGTTTCCTGTATACGCTGAGGAGCTCCTCGGGAAGCTTTAAACAATCTTATTAAGGTCCTTGCCCTTGGCAGAGCGTGCTCCAGGAGGATCCAAAAGTCCATACATCCTGATAAAGCCCCAGAACCTGGGAATTTTAGCATGAAGAGTAAAGAAGCAGTGATGAGCCTGCCCCCACAGACAGCTCTAACTTGAAGAGATGTGTCCAGTTGATGTGTCATGAGCAGTATGTAACTATTACAATCTACCCCTTAGAATCTGGGAAGGGAAAGTAGTGTGGGACATGGAATCAGCGGTGGGATGACTACAGGAAAGCTGCCAGGAGAGGGAATTCCACTGCAGAACAGTGCTTCTTCCTGTCAGCTGTACTTCCCACTTAACATCCAGACACAAACATCCCTTCAAACTGCTGGCCAGGAGGCTGGAGAGACAAGGGAAGTAGCAGCGCCAGAGGCCACCTTATACTTCCTGGACCAGGACAGTAGAAGAAAATTGTTTTCATTCCATGGAAGATAAAGGGCTTCCAAAGTTCTAGTCCTATCTTGCCAAGCTCCCAAGGCCCTGGTCTGTGTATATTTTATTCCTTACAAACCACCTGTGGCCCTTTTAACTTCAGTTACATGAGAATCACATGGTTTTGGCCACTTAAAGGTTATGACAAACAGGTTTCAATCAGACCGAAGCTCCCCAAACACAGGAGCTGTAACCTAGTGTCATTTGGGGGCCCAGAATGGTGTCACATACCTCAGGTCAGAGAAGCAGCCTTCTGTTTCCTCCTTTCCTACATCCCCTCCAACACAGCCTGCAAAGGTGGTGGGACTGTGCATCACGGAGCTGGAGTTGGATGTGCTCACATCATCTTCTTTCCCTCCTCTCCTGCCCTGAAGATGTATGAATGTATAGGAAATTGAGTCTGCTGCAGAGATAAACTAAACTGAGAAATAAGGAAACTCCAACTTTTTTGGTGGCTTATGAATAAGAAGCTGAATTTTCTCCAAAGAACTTATCTATGATTACACATAAGCCTTGATGTGTCCTTTACACCATAGAGTGCCACAACTTTCTGACAACCGTTTCCCAGAAAGTAAGACCTAACTGGAAAATAATTAACTTTGTAAACTAGCGATCAAAAATACCCTTTCCAATACTCCTGCCTTACCTGCCATTACAAAGTAGCCACCAAGCAAGAGAATAGTGAGGTACAATTTTCTGCATGACACCAGTCACCACCACAGTAATAAGCAGAGCTTCTTTTAGGGTTATTTTCAGGGAAACATGGACTTACCATCATTCACACTTCACACACACACACACACACACACACACACACACAGGGACCTCCTATATGGGGCATGCCCATCAGACAGATACTAAAAGAACTGTCAAAGAAAATACAATGAAATTCTACTACTCAGTGTCACTTCAATGTCCCTGGATTCCCTGCACAGGTTCTGTTCATTTTTTACAAGATAGCTGGGTTGAACCTGTGGTTTCAAGCTAAACCTTCCATTTCCATTTCTGATCATCTGAAAGGATCATCGTTAACACCACTGTCAGTGAAGAGGTATCCAAATTCCCCTCAATTTCAACAGGATTTGCTGAGCATCTATTAATGCCTAGTACCATAGCAGTACTTCATACTTTTATTTTTGCTCCAGTGATCTGTCCCCTCTACAGATACAAGTACAGTCAGGAAACATGTCTGAATCTGTCATGCTAGCAAGCATACATTTCAGGGTTAAGTATGTTAAGGCTGTGAAACTTAAAAATCTGGCACACCAAGTCTTACAAAAGCCCACACACCTATGTGTTATAACTCTACAATGGCCCATCATTTCCTAACTGATGTGATTAAAATCAGTAGTGTCCACACAGATAGCCCCCTAGGACTACTTCTGATCTAAAGGGACAAATTAGAAAATATACTTGTGTAGTCACACCTCACGCAAGGTTAGGTCACGCTGAAAGGCACAAGATTTGGCACTGACTCTTCTCTGACACAGCATAGTGCCCAGCATGCTTGTGTTGGCTGGATCAATGAATAAAGCTTTAAATATGGATCTTCATGAGGACCTTCAAAAAGACCTTAAAACTGACAGGAAAAAGAAAATACCCTATCATCTTTAGAAAAACATAGGCCTCCAAAGCCAACATGCAAGAATGAAATCCTGTCATTCTGGACACCATGGATGAAACTGGAGGACATTATGTTAAGCGAAATAAGACAAAGACAAATGCTAAATAAGAAAAGAGAGGAAAGGAGGTAATGGGTACAGAAATATACAGTTAGGAAGAATAAGTTTTAGCATTTTATAGCATATTAGGGTAACCATCATTTATAATAATTCATTATGTACATCAAAATGGTAAAAAAGGAGCTAAAAAGGGACCTTGAAAGTTCCCACACGAAAATGCTAATCACCCCAATTTGATCATTTCACACTAAATCAATGCATCAAATTCTCATACATACAATTATCACGTGCCAATTCATAAAAAATGTTTAAATGCATAGTTGAAGATTATTATGTTTGGGAGCATTAGTGCTTGAGGGTCCCGAATTTTAGAACTCTGTGGAGAAGTAATGAATCCCTCAAAAACGTGTCATTTTGACATACAAGGATATGAAAGAAGCCACTGCAGCCTCTTATCACCACTTTTTCAAGAAGTTATATTTTAACATACAACTTTCCTTCCCATGAATGTCTACCAAAATCCTTTTACTTAGGCTTTTAATAAGGACTGATGAACACATGGTAATGGGTCAGTGTGGGCCACAGATCAGTGTGGGAGCCATAATCCCCTTCTCCCATGTGACTCATATAAATAAATGGGGTTTTTTTATCCATGGGATTATTTCCCTCTAAAACCTCCGCAGTGCCTCAGATTCAAACAGAGAAACCTAGATTCTGGCTTTTCTCTCCTGGGTGTTCTAGAAGGAGAGGAACACATGGATTCAGCTGAGTTCTTGCTATCTAAACTGAAACCAGTGCCACAAGTTTCTGAAAGCCACAGCTAATCAGGATCATTTGGATCATTAAAACTCCACCATAATTAACAGTCAATTTCTTAGTGGAGCAGTTGTTTCAACAGCTGGGCGGAATGAAGTTTGAATGTGATATCTTAAATAACAACAATTGAGTTCCAATGACGAAAGAAGGGAGAGCTTACTACTCTACAAACAGAAGTGATGCTGCTGGTCCAGAATCAACAGAGACATTTTGAGTTAATCTCCTAAGAGAAGACTTGAGCTTGTCTCAATTCACGGACTTCTTTCTGGCTTTAGTATCCAAGGGCAAGTGAGGTTGGAAGTAAGGATGTGCTGTTATGTGACAAAACAGAAAAGACAGAAATCTAAACAGCATCACCTGTTTAATTAACTATTCCCTCTCCATATACCTATAAAATAGGTGTTACTATTCCTAATAGACAAGTAACTGAGGGTCACAAAGCTTGACCATTCAACAATCAACAAGTACTTGCCCAGGGCTTAACTCCAGACACTGTATAAAGAGCTATGACTTAGCCCAAGGTGACACAGCTGACAAGCGAGCACCCAAACCCAGTCATGTAACCTCAAATCTATTCCATTCCATGGCTGTCCCCCCGCCGGCTGAGGTCAGTGTTGCCACAGGACACCTAAGTCAAAAGACCATGGCATAAAGGACTACATGGTCTACCTCTCTAGTCCGCACCCCTGAAGAGAGTGTCAATATTGAATCCTATGTTTGCTATCTCCACAGACAATTCAAAGTAGCCCATAGTGTCATCTTAGTTACAGCACTGTCCGGGATGTGCAGTCCAGAACTGGAAGCTGGGGCTTACTTATGTATCCTTACAACCGAGTGCGCAGGACAGAAACATTCCAGTAAAGATCGCATGAAACCCAGGAGAGAAATTTTGGCAAAAGAGGAACAGATTCTAAACTCTCAAGGTTTCCAGACCATAACATCAGAAGCCATACAGTGGAATTTGAGAGGTCCTACTCCTTGGACCGAGGACTGAGATCTCTAGTTTGATTCTCATAGGCTGCCTCACACATCTGGGACCTATGCTAGTTATGGCATGTGCCCCACGCCAGAGGTTCTGGAAACAATGTCTGCCATCCACTCTGGCTGGCCATCCCCACTGACCAGCCTGCTCCACAGTTGCATCAGAGAAGGGGCCAGTCATACACTAAGCTGCTCATCTCAAGAATGCCAAAATCTTCATGAATGGGCCACCCTGTGCATGTAATCTCAAGGAGGTAGGGCCAACAGCTATGGGTCACCAAAGTGAGGTCAAACATGACATGAGAGGCTGGCCTGATCAATAGATGAGTCAGAAAGCACAGTATAAAACCTCAGGAGTCCCAGTCCTCCTCACATCACCAGCATCTCCTCTCCTCACTCACCCTCCCTGGTGTTTTGGGTAAGTGGGGACTTACTGGCTCTCATCTTCCCAGCTGGCCTTCGGTGGATGGGGTCTCTCTCGCCTGCTACAATTATAGGACATCTATCTTTCTTTTGTACTGCACTCATACTAAGAGGGGAGTCAGGAAAGGGATGGAGTGCTGAGTTGCTTGGTCTTACGCCCAGAATGTAAACTCTACCAACCCGAGATTGCTTCCTGCCTAACACACCTGTAGGAGGAGTAACACTGCTAGACAGAGGGGGGTGCTGCAGTGGCTGTCCAAGGCAGCCCTTGCAGTGCATGTGCTGGGTGACCTCATAAAATTGTCAGGAGAAGGGGCTGAGCCCAAGGTCAGAGAATAGGGAGAATGATTCAGAGAATGTTGCAAAGAAGAGGTATTTTGAGAGCCAAAGAAACCCAAATTCTGCAGAGAGTGTGAATGAGAAATGACTTGTGAGGTGCTAGGACTCAAATTCTTACTAGTTATAGTTCCCTCTACCAAGCTTCAGCTTCAGCACATCTCAAGAGATGCCTGATACGCAGAATTCTGGCAGGAGATGCTGGTCCACAGGACCATCTGGATCCTTCTCCTGGTGCCCAGACAAGATGAAGAAAGACCTTGTCTTCATTAATAGCTAGTTACTGGGTCATAGCTTCACTCTGTGAGACAGGCAAAGAGTTTGAACTCAACACTTTGCAAGAAAAGAGGTGCAACAGTCCTCTGCCATCCCAGCAAACCTCCCTAGATTGTGCTAGAAATGGCAAAATCCTCCATCCTAAGTAGAGATATGTGATAATTTCATATTTGAATTCAAAAAATCAATGTTGGAACTGGAAGAGGCTTAAGAAACAAGTGTTCAAACTGTCTCATTTTATGTCAGATGAGAAGCAGCAAGAGAATGGGTGATCGGCCCTAAAATCATCACAGAGGTCAATCAGAGCTTGGAGAGTTGTGCCATTCACTTAGGTATCTCAACTTGGCCAAGACTTTCTGAGAGGAATCGACTCCCTTCCAAAAGCAGTGATCCAAGCTGAAAGTTGGGGCTCCTGAGAACCTGGTGCCTAACCAAGCAGGCTGCACTCGGAGCAGGGAGGCTGTTACCATGGATACCGCTGCATCCTTCGCAGCATCCTCTCCCAGCTGGTCCAGTGATGCTTTTTCGCTCTCCTTTCAGGGTCTCCTTACACCTTAGACAAGATGTCTCACCAGAAAAAGCAGCCCACACCTTACCCTCCAGTGGTTTGCAAGACCTCTGGCGGTGGAGGTGGAGGCGGCGGCGGTGGCTCCAGCTGCGGCGGCGGCGGCGGCGGCGGCGGCGGCGGCGGCGGCGGCGGCGGCGGCGGCGGCGGCGGCGGCGGCGGCGGCGGCGGCGGCGGCGGCGGCGGCGGCGGCGGCGGCGGCGGCGGCGGCGGCGGCGGCGGCGGCGGCGGCGGCGGCGGCGGCGGCGGCGGCGGCGGCGGCGGCGGCGGCGGCGGCGGCGGCGGCGGCGGCGGCGGCGGCGGCGGCGGCGGCGGCGGCGGCGGCGGCGGCGGCGGCGGCGGCGGCGGCGGCGGCGGCGGCGGCGGCGGCGGCGGCGGCGGCGGCGGCGGCGGCGGCGGCGGCGGCGGCGGCGGCGGCGGCGGCGGCGGCGGCGGCGGCGGCGGCGGCGGCGGCGGCGGCGGCGGCGGCGGCGGCGGCGGCGGCGGCGGCGGCGGCGGCGGCGGCGGCGGCGGCGGCGGCGGCGGCGGCGGCGGCGGCGGCGGCGGCGGCGGCGGCGGCGGCGGCGGCGGCGGCGGCGGCGGCGGCGGCGGCGGCGGCGGCGGCGGCGGCGGCGGCGGCGGCGGCGGCGGCGGCGGCGGCGGCGGCGGCGGCGGCGGCGGCGGCGGCGGCGGCGGCGGCGGCGGCGGCGGCGGCGGCGGCGGCGGCGGCGGCGGCGGCGGCGGCGGCGGCGGCGGCGGCGGCGGCGGCGGCGGCGGCGGCGGCGGCGGCGGCGGCGGCGGCGGCGGCGGCGGCGGCGGCGGCGGCGGCGGCGGCGGCGGCGGCGGCGGCGGCGGCGGCGGCGGCGGCGGCGGCGGCGGCGGCGGCGGCGGCGGCGGCGGCGGCGGCGGCGGCGGCGGCGGCGGCGGCGGCGGCGGCGGCGGCGGCGGCGGCGGCGGCGGCGGCGGCGGCGGCGGCGGCGGCGGCGGCGGCGGCGGCGGCGGCGGCGGCGGCGGCGGCGGCGGCGGCGGCGGCGGCGGCGGCGGCGGCGGCGGCGGCGGCGGCGGCGGCGGCGGCGGCGGCGGCGGCGGCGGCGGCGGCGGCGGCGGCGGCGGCGGCGGCGGCGGCGGCGGCGGCGGCGGCGGCGGCGGCGGCGGCGGCGGCGGCGGCGGCGGCGGCGGCGGCGGCGGCGGCGGCGGCGGCGGCGGCGGCGGCGGCGGCGGCGGCGGCGGCGGCGGCGGCGGCGGCGGCGGCGGCGGCGGCGGCGGCGGCGGCGGCGGCGGCGGCGGCGGCGGCGGCGGCGGCGGCGGCGGCGGCGGCGGCGGCGGCTGCTTTTACAGTGGCGGTGGCTGCGGAGGGGGCTCCTCCGGGGGCGGCGGCGGCTCCAGCTGTGGAGGTGGCTCTGGCGGCGGTTCTGGGGGTGGCAAGGGCGTCCCGGTCTGTCACCAGACCCAGCAGAAGCAGGCGCCTACCTGGCCATGCAAATAAGGCCCCATGGAGGCCGCCACGGAGGCAAAGGAGCTGGAGGTGTCCTCCGTGGGCGCCGGTGGGTTTAATGTTCTCATGATATTGCCCAAGGTTTCCAAATTTGACATGTCTCTACCCACCCAGAAGAGGCCATCGAGTTCTCAAGACTGCATCTTGCTCTGTAGTTTTTCCCTGGTTTCTGTATGACTACCTCCCCCTTCAGTTTCCCTTCAGCCAATAAATTTCGCAGTTCATGAGAATCTCTGGGTCTCCAGCAGTCTTTGTAGCTTCGAATTCATCTGTTTCTCTTTCCTTCCATTCATTCATCCAAACTGCCCCTAATACTCTTGGGGGGAGGTCAAGGGGCCAGAGAAGTTAGCAGTGGAGGAATGGCTAGCAGACGAAGGCTGATGATGTACACAGTCTGGTTTAAGGCTTTAAAAGATCCTCGAAGTGATCCCGAAACAAAGATGCTATTAAAATACCTTACTAAACAGCCTTCAAAGAGTTGTGTAGCCACTAGGGGAGGTCCGCTCACTGACCTCAGAGCCTGTAAAAGACAGGCCATCCTGGAAAGGTGCTGTCCTAGTCTAGAGCTTGTGCAGGGTCTAAAAACAAAGTGGCTACTCATTAGGAACACTCCACACTACCCAAGTTCAAAAGAAAAATAATATTTCAGATACTCTTGAATCAAGTGTGTAAGGCACTCTACTGGTACTTGGAAGGACAGAAGGAAATAGAGAAGCTATTCCCTGATCTCTTGAAAGAGTGTTAGCTAATTTAGAGAGCATAAATGTATGAGATGTTAAAAACATCACTACCGGAAAGTCCGAAAAGAAACAGGAAGCTTTCTAATGAGCAAGGAAGAGGCTACTGGTGCTTCAAAGATACAGTAATTACATAGCCCCCAGTGCATTCGAGTTTTATTGGCTTTAGGTAAATGTAAATTTATTGATTTTCTCAGAGCAATAATAGTCAAAAAGCCAAGTCCCCTTGCTCCCTAGTTAACTGCTACAAACCGAAAAATAAATTCTTCCACAACCCCATCACTGAAAGTCCCCAATCATAAACCACACAAGACTTAGGAAGAGAAAAGTCAATTGTTGGGAGTCCCTAGAATGGAAGAAGTGATACAGCTAAATTCTTTGTTTTCTTTTTGCCTGCTAGGTGTACCAGATTTCTCACTAGAAAGTAAACAAGAAATGCTGACAGATGCAGAAAAAAGTAACCTTCCTGTCTTTATCCAAAGGATCAGGAAAGAGGTGGCATAGCAAGATAATTCTTTTACACCATCTACCTTACTTCAACCAGCATGGAGAAAAATGAACAGGAGTCCTGGGCTTTCACCATTAGAGAAGTCAACATGAACTTACCGAATGGTAAGGAGATGGTGTACTTCCTACACACGGAGTAGCAGAGGTTTATAAAAATAGAAGATTTAAACAAGATAGAGTTGTATAATACCCAAAAGATACATCCATCTCTCTCTCTCTCTCTCTCTCTCTCTCTCTCTCTCTCTCTCTCTCACACACACACACACACACACACACACACACATGCCATCATTTGTCATAACAAGAACATGGAAAATTTAGGGCCAGGCATCTAGCTCTGGTTCTGCTGCCTGCTTCGAAAGCACAAGGACCTGAGTTCAATCCCTGTTACCAAAAATATAGAACATGGAAAATTTGTCTAATGAAAAAAAAGACCTGATCAATAGATTCCAGCACATATTTTGGGATTATCTGCTAAGATGTTTAAAGAAATTATTTTTAAAATGCTACATTAAGAAATGCACACTTGAAACATGAAAAAAATAAAAAAATAGAAGATATAAAACATGGAAATTTTAGAATATAATAACCTATTATAGAACTGAAATTTATAACTGACAAATTAAAAACTCACTGGATAGCCTCAATAAAAATGAAGTCACTTCGCAGCAAGGAAGTCTGGCAAGCACCGCCTCAGACACAAGGTGAAGGTCAGTGGTCAGTCATTAATCTCACTGACCATTATTTTCTACAACCCGCTACTCAGGGCCTTACGAAGTACTTAATGAGCACCAGCGTACTCTGAATGATAGGTACACAATTAGATAATTATAAGTGGAACAGTGGAGATTCATACGGACTCTTGCAGTGATGCAGACAAAGGCTTCCCAAGTGCAATGCTGCCCAAGCTGAATCTTAACACATGGACAACAGAGAGCTATACAAAGAGAGAGAGATCAGAATTTATGAGCGGAACGGACAGGACCACCAGAGTCTCAGAAGACTGTGAGCAGTTTCTGAGGTGGCTGGACCGGGACGTGAGGCACATGGAGGCAGGAGATTAGGCAGGGAGAGGTATTGGAGAACGTGAGACACCTGGGGCTTTATCATCTAGATGAAGCACAGTTGTAGAAACCTTCAGGGGAGACCCACACGTAAACTAAGTAGTTTTAAAAGATTGCTCTGGTCAAGGCAAGGAGAAAGTTTTGAGACTGGAGGAAGCGAGCCATGTTATTCCTCAAGTAAGAGGTGATGGTGGACAGATCTAGGGCAGTAGGAGATGGACGACACTGGATGGCATGATAAGTATGTTACAGGGTGTGTTTCAAACCTGGGGATGAAGCGAAAGAATGTGTTTAAGGAAATAAAAAAGAAAGGATCAGTGATGGCTCTGAGATGGCAGGGTTTCACATTTAAGGCCAGAAGTACCCGTACATATCCAGGAGATGCCAGGAGTTAAAGTAATACATACATCTGGGGCTCTGGAAGGGCTCCAACTGGTTCATCAGGTGTGGGAATCTGGGGATATTGGTGATCGGTGACAGAGTAACCGTGGTGACATCAGCCCAGGGAGGTGTCCAGAAAGAAGGTGATGAGTGGGTGGAGAGAAAGGAAGCCTCCCCACCCTTTGGAAAAATAGGGGGGAAATGTGAAAGGAGGAGAAAGTTTGGAGGGCATACTGTGACCAGAGCCACCAAAACGCACAATTTCAAAAATATCTAAGAAAATAGCCAGAAGTATGAAATAGAACAGACACTGATGGTAGGGTGAGACCGATAACTTCCCCTCCGACCTGACTTTCACCAATGTCCAAGGAAACTAAGAGCAATCGCAGGGGAGCAAGAGGGGAGAAAGCTGTGCTGTAGAGTAAATGAGGAGTGAGAACAGGATGCTCTTTCAGAGGTGTGAGTGAAAAAGACAGAAGAGAGATTAGAAAATGACTAGAGAGAGGCAGGATTAAAACAGCTTCTTTTTTTTTTTTTTTCTCTCTCCAGGTTGGAAGAATGTCGGGTAAGTGCATAGACTGGGTATGAAGTCAGGAGAACCTGTAAATTCTAAAGAAAATGTTTAGTACCTACTCCGTACCCCACCCTTTTGTGGGATTCTGATTGCACAGCTGAAAATCCCTTCTCCAAAGAAGTCTTCACACTAGTTGGAGAAGATAAACAATAAACTGCATAAATTACACAAGACACAGTATGAGCACGGTTGGAGTAGAACAGGAAAAGGCGAGAGATGTGGCAGGAAAGTGGCCTTTGCATAGTGGCCTGAATCGTGTAAAAGGGGGTCTGACTGTAGGAGGAAGCAACATCACAGGCAGACAGAACGGCAGAGCAAGCACCTGCCTGGACCTGCCCAGGGCTTCCCAAGGCCACCGAAGATGGGGCACCGCGAGAGGGAAGAGGTGGTAGGAGCTGCGGTCCGACACAGTGAGGCGCTGGATGTGTAGCCACTCTGAGGCCGACAAAAGGACTTTGACTCCTACTCTGAGGGACATGGGAAGCCATCCGAGGGTCTGGAGCAGAGGAGACACAAGGTCTGACTCGGATTTGAACGGGCGCTCTCTGGATTCCGCAGTGAGGGTAGGGTGGGACAGCAGAATGAAGAGGCCAGTTGGGCTGCAGCACTTCGGGTAGGAGATGATGGTGACTCGAACCACAGAAATGGAGAGGGGAGGGGAGCCAAGCAGAGGCTGAGTTGTGAGTACGTTTTGAAAGCAGAGCCAGTCTGGTGAAGGTAATGGGAGAAAAGTCAATGGTAACCCCAAAGTTCTGGGCTTGATCTGGAGTAGAATCATCATTCTCTGAGCTGGACAGATTGTGGTAGAAGTAGAGTTTTGTGTTTGTTTCTTTGTTCAATTTTGCTTTGTTCTTTGTTTGTCTGCAGCACTGGGGATTGAATTCAGGGCCTTCACACCAGCTACATCCCCAGACCCCTGTTTTTGAGGCTGGATCATCAAGTTGCCCAGCTAGGCTTGAACTTCCCATCCAGTAGGAACAGTTTTTGAGGGGACTTCAAGGGTTCCTAGCTCCCCTTTGGACTGAATAGCTATGAAATAGCAAAGTGGAGAGAGAGATGACAAGTTAAAATCTGAACCCGGGGTTAAATAGTTGAGGTAAGAGACGAGTTTTCCGAACTGGTCCCAGAGGAAGCTGAGTGGTCGGCATCAAGGGAAGGCATCGCAGATGGGCTCCTCCGTCCCCTGGCTGACATAGAGGCTGTGGGAGGTGGCTGCAGGGACCTGCACAAGGTGTGAGGGAGCAGAGAGATGCTCCTGATGGCCTGTTTTCTCTGCTGAGATTAGAGGGTTGGGAGGAAGCTGGGGGACAGGGGTGGAGCCAGTCCTGTCCCACACCTGAGGACAGCAGCAGGAGCGACCCAGAAGTGAAGAACTGGGAAGCCAACTTGGAGGGAGGGCTTGAGTCTCAGGACCCCCTGACTGTCTGCTCCGCACCAACCGTGGATTCCACACCTGCCGCAACTGCTCTCTCTTCCTCCCTGCGCCTGCAGGAGCCAGGCACCACCTCTTCGCTGGGCAGGTTCAGGCATGAGTCCCCACCTAAGCACCAACTCCAAGGACAGCAGGGCTGCCCAGACGGGTAGATGGCTCGCTTGCGCCACCTACCGGCGGATCAGGGCAGGACGGCAGTTCCCCTCTGCGTAGCTTTCTTCTGGGGCGAAGTTAAAGACCCCACTGTAGCCCTTATACCCCAAACCATCTCCGACCTGAGAAATACCCAAATCACTTGTTTCAGATCATTGTCTTACCAAAGAAGATACTGAGGGCATTTATTCGTTCCACAAACAGTTACTGAGCTACTGCTACATGCGGGTGCCCCAACACTCAGGAACTACCGAGAGCCTGGGAACGCCTCACTTTCACAAAGCTGACAGTCTAGTCAGGAAAGCATATATAAATCAAATGCTCAAAGAATTTAAAATACAATTCCAAGTAAGTGGGACACCCTTGAGTAAATACCAAATAGTTTCTCTGGCGTGACAAACTAAAAGTGTAAATAAGGTTCAAATGGTATAAATGATAGTGTGAAATAGGAAGAAAAGGGCTAAAGGGCAAGTGGGAAGGGGAGGGGAAAGAAAAGGAAAAAGAACCAATGTGAAAAGAAAAATGGAAGCAAAGTCTTTGTAAATAGGGAAGGGTGAAGGGGTGAAGGGAGGGCAGGGGTATAGGGGAAAAGTAAGAACTAAGACATATCATGTAAAGGTACAAGATCCCAATGATAAATGCAACTGTAGTGCTTGGTTTAAATGTACCAATGAACTTAATCGGGGGGGGGGTAACAATTCCAAATGATGCAACGTTGGGAAGGGACAAGTTTCTGAATGAAACTCTTGTGAATAGCTGAAGACACGGCCTTCAGGCTAAAGCCCGGACAGTGCCTCTCCATGGATCATGCAAAGAAGTGGGAGGGAGGGGGATATTCTCAGTGTGTTGGACCTCACAGCAGAAGAGCTGGGAAAGCCTGTGTCAGAGTCCCATCTGTCCCCCAGTCCCTTCCTCCAAATGAAAACCACCCTAAGGGAAGGCAGTATTGCTTGCCCTCATATTATTATGTTTGCAAACGTGTTTTATCCTTCAACTTATTTGTAATATGGCAATTTCTTCGCTTTCCTTTAAGTAGCAACCGGAGGATTTTATTATTTCATAGATCTGTTTGGTTTGTTCGTTTTGGGCGTTTTTTGTTTTGTTTTTGGGGTTTTTTGTTTGGTTGGTTTTTGTTGTTGTTGTTGTTGTTTTGTTTTGTTTTGTTTTTGGTCCTGGGGATCAAACTTGGGATCTTGTCCTTGCGAGGCAGGCAGCAGCACCACTGAGCTACATCCTCAGCCAGATGATAATGCAGAATTTAATAATAAGGCTGTGAGAAGTGACTCGTAAAGGGTGACAACATCAAGATTCAAAGGGATTTCAACAGATTTGAATTATAGGGAAACACTGCTAATATGAATTAAGACAAACCGGAGTCCTGCGTTTAGGTTGACAAACAGGCCTGGTGAGGGTGTGGTGGGGTGAGAGGTGGGTAAATAGCAGCTGTGATGAAGTGGGGGCTGATGGTGTGATCTGGCGGCCACACCGGTAAAGCAATGTTGGATTGCAGTTGCCATGGTTGCAGCAGCTGCTGCTATTATTATAAAATGAATCTAGAACCGCACTATTTACAGAGGGATTTCACGTGTGTCACCTTATTAGTTGAGGAATGTTATCAGATCAGTGGAAGTCACACTCCGGTGAACTCTGTCACAGGGGACTCTTGGCATTTTGTCCACTTCCAGTCGCACCTGTGAAAGGCACATGAACACCTGGCAGACAGCTGATGAGGACGGAGGAACAGAGTTTCAGCTCAGCAGTGGCATGCATTCTACGTGCGCCCTTACTATACTTGATCTTAGCCAAAAGGCCAAGAAGCGATTATGTGTGCCCTTAAAGGAGTGACTTAATTCCTCCAAGCCCAGCCTGTCAAGTAGGAATGGCAGTTCCTGCTCCATAGATCTGCCTTGGAGATTCAGTGAAATTGTGCATCACGCATGCCTGGCACAAAGACTTCATGCAAAGAGAACAACCAGTGTCCCTCACGTGTCACTAAAGAGCTGCTCTGGAGTGTCCTGCAACTTCCTTTGGCCCCAGATCAGTTTCCAGCTACCTCCTTTATCTTCCCTTGCTCAGCCCTTCCCCACCTCCACCCAACGGGGACCTGAGTGAGAACAGACCTGGGCATTTGGCCTTGCCTCCCGGGCAAGCCAAGAGAGTAGTAGAGAGTCACGGCCCTGCTCCCCAGGCCTTGGGATGCAGCAAGTTTGGAAAGTGCACCAGCATCAAGGGCGAGCACAAGTGAGGGGAGTTTTGTTCCCCACAGCTCATAATGCAGCAGGAGAGCCAGATACTGAAATACACACAGAGGAAAACATAAATAAATTACTGGAAATGAACAGGGCGCCAAGGAAAGACAGAATGGGAGAATCTTGATTCAGGGGTCTTAAGATGAGGGTGTTTAGAGGAAGTGATGTGTGAACTGAGCGCTGGAGACAAGTAGGAAATGCATAGCTGAACCCCACCCCGACTCTGGTAGGCAGCTGCAGCATTCTTGGACGGCTCCCAGCTATTCCGACAGGGAGACACTGACCGTGCACCATAGGTGCCTTTAAAGGGTGACTTAATCCTTCCAACCCCAGTCTGTTTCTTCAGGAATGACAGTTCCTGCCCTATAGATCTGTCCTGGAGATTCAGTGAAATCGTGCATCACACGTGCCCCATGGACAGACACTTGTTACTGAAGCCTGCTGTGGAAAGTCCCCCAAGAGGTCCCAGCCTCACCTCTCTGAAGGCCTAAATCCACCCACCACTCCTCCCACCAAATAATCCCTTCCCTTCCTCCATAGCTCAGTTCTACTAAAGCCCTGCCCTTGGCCAGCCCTCAGCAGAAACTTGCTGGGCCAGAAACACACCAGGTCCTACTCTTCCTGGCTGTAAATTTCTGGAAACCAACCACCTTCCAAGAGCCACCCCACCCTTGACCTCCTGCCCCTCTCCTCCTACTCCCCGGGCATAAGAAGCCCCAGGGCGGGGCGCCCAGGTGACTGTCAGGGGCAGAATGAGTGGAGAGGCTCTGTGGGTGTCCGGCTGAGGGTCTCTGTGACCACCATTACTCTTTTCCCACTGTTTGTTTCGGTCTAATGTGTTGCAGGGACAGAACAAAGAAGGCGCACACAGAGCAGTCGAGCAGACAGAAAATGAGCACTGAGATCGAGATCGACACAGCCTGAGGAAAAGGAAGAGACCGGCGGAGAGGTGGGAGTGAAGGGAGGCAGAGACAAAGACAGACACTAGAAAAAAAGACTGAGGTGTGGAAAGAAAAGGCCTAGGAGGCAAAGAAGAGTGCAGGAAGCAGGGAGTGAACAGAGCTAAAGCGGAAGTGTTGGCACCGGGGCCACCGGGAGCCTTGTGGTCCTCGGCCATGCACTTTCCAGGGCTGCAGCCACCACAATGAGGAGACCACACTGGAGCCCACGTCTTCCCCATCTCACCCCTGACAGGAAGCCTCCAGAGTGGGGTGTGCACGGCCTGGAAAGATACTGAAAGCCTCCCACGCCAGCTGAGGAAACACTGGCGCCCTTCCCTGCGGACCACACCCTCCTGTCAGTCCACAGACACACAGGTGGCCCAACGGCATGCCAGGCCCTGCACGGGCCCTAGGGGTAGAGCCAGCCAGGCGCAGGCACAGCCCCCCAAGGAGGCCAGGGTCGGGAGGGGAGAGGAGAGGGCAAGGAGACGCCACCAAGAGGCCTGAGTAGTCGTTTCTGGTTTAGAGAAGCAGGGAAACTAGCGGAGGTCAAGATGCAGGCTGGGGATGGTGTGGGTGAAGGCATCAGGATGGAGAACCCAGGAGGGCTCCTTCTCTGAAAAAGTAGGCAGGAGAAGCCCCACGTGGCATGCAAAGACAATTTGCTTCTCCCTGTTGGAAAGGAGGGGCCGTTGCTTGATTTCTTTTCATTTTTTATCTTTACTAAATTTATCGATACATATTAGGTATACAGTACAGTTACATTTATTATTAGGATCTTGTACCCATACATGACTTATCGGGTTCTTATTTTCCCCATTCCCCAGCCCTCCCCTCAGCCCCACCACCCTTCCCTGTAAAACAAAGACCCTGTTTCCATGTTTCTCCTTTTCACATACTTTTTATTTTTCCTTTTTACCTTTCCCCTACCCCTCCCACTTCCTCTACTCTTTTAGACCTTTCTTCCTATTACATATCAATTGTACATTTTAATCCTTATTTACACTTTTGCTTTTTCACACCAGAGAAGCTATTCGGTATTTATACGTGTGTAATTTATTAATTAATTGAGTACGGCCTCAATGTGCATCCACTTAACATAAATCTCTCTAGTTTCTCATTCTTTATGGCTGAGTAGTATTCCAATTTATTAAAAAAGTCTTTATCCAGTCTCCAGGTGATGGGCAGTTGGGCTGTTTCCAAGTTTTAGCTATTAGAAACTGTGCCACTATACATGGGTGAGCATATATCACTGTGGTATGATTCTTTTAATTCTTTGGGGAAGATACCCAGCAGAAGGACACAGGTGATGAGGCCAAGTGGGAGGCGAGGACAGAGACCCAGCGGGAAGGAGAGCAGCCCCGGAGGGAGCGGGAGTTGCCCTCAGTGTTTGAAGTGAGGCCACGTCCTGATGATGCTGTACAAAGCCTGTCCAGGGGACAGAGTGTCGACCACATCACTATGGCCCAGCAGCAGGTAGTTGGGGGCCAGGTACCCCTTGGCCACAGCACACTGGATCAGGTCCTGGGCCGCCTCCAGCGCAGCTGCATTTGGAGGCTTTTCTGCAAAACACATTTACTCCGTCAATCGTTTGGGTCTTGAGATTGCTTGTTTAGGGCAGGGACAGGCACCTGGATTCCATCTCCCACCTCCCTCACCGCACTGCACACCCAGCACCCTAGCCAACAAATGTGCAGGAGCTGTAGCAATCAGGTACAGGAAGAAGAGAAGGCTGCTGTCTTCCTTTCATCCCTCCTGTTCAACGTTTCTTTCAGCAAGTCTAAAACTGCTCTGGAATAAAACTCCACCAGGACACCCTGTTTCTCAGTAGGCGCAAGGCACAAACAGCCCACTGAATCATCCACCACTGTGCCACAGTGGGCAGGGCGCCCCAAGATTGTTGCCATGGTTACCAAGGAAGCACCCATATTTACCATCTGAGTCATAAAATATAGACGGTTTGGAAAGATTTTTTTTTTCTCTTTTGCCCCATGCTTGCCTAGGATATGGATTAAAAGTGGGGTGGGATTGGGAATGGGGGTGGTGAATTAGGGATAAGTATTTCCTCTAGGGGGGCTCCTGCTGGCCATCATCCAGTACTGAGAGTCTACTTTAAAACTAAAATGTTCCACCAGCTCTGCCAGGCACCCCAATGCTGCCTTTTGCCTTATGCTCATCACCCAAAGCCCTTCTGCCCAGGCTCACCCCTTACCCACAAAGTTGCCCATGAAGGCAATTCCCAGTGCGATGTCATTGTACCCGTAGGTGTGCGAGCCTTGGCTAGACCAGCCAAGCCCTTCATACACGCCGCCATCTTGGCCTATCAGGAAGCTAGGATCGGGCAGAGGAAAATGCAAAGGTCACTCTGGGGAGCAGATATTTTTCTTTCACTCCTTCAATCATTAATTCATTATTTTATCCATTTATCACATATTGACTGGATGTCTCTTATGTGCCAACAATAAAAACATAATACACTGCCCCCACCATGCCACTGAATCTGACCCTTCCAAGGTGCACAGTGATCTCCCCGGTAAACACAGGACGCTCATCTTACTTCTGGAAAACACAGACCCTGTGAACACACCCTCCTGGAAATGCTCCTCCCTAGGCTTTCACAGGACTACACTCTCCGGACGTCTCCACTCTTCTGTTCCCCATCAGGCCTCCGCCACCCACCCTGTTTTCCTCAGATGTTGCAATGTCATGTTCCTCCTCAGGACCCTGGTGTAGCCCCACCTCTCCTTTCCCTCAACCCGCTCCCCCTGGATCATCATCCCCTCCCACAGTTTCAGTCACGATCCATAAAAGCCAACATATCCAGACAAACCCATCATCTTTGCAGTTTCCCCAGCCAGAAAAATCAGGCATCATCCTGAATGCCTCCCTCTCCTCTCCCAGCCCCATCGGACCACTAACCATGGCTTGGCAACTGCATTTCCTCCATAGCTTTTAAATTTCCCCACCTGTCTCCACCAACTGCCACTACCCTGTCCTGGGCCACTGATTACTCCAACAACTCCCTGCCCCGAGTTTTGCCTCCTTCCAATCCATTTGGAAAGTAGCACCCAAGATGATTCTTCAAATGTACAAACCCTATCACAAGGCTTCACGTGGTCTCCAGGTGCCTTTCCAGCAGTCTGTCTTCAGGGTCAATGACAAGGGGCTTCGATGTGGCTCCTTTAGGCCTCTCCAGCTCACCTCTTACCGTTTCTCTCTTGGAATCTTATATTTAGGTGTGAGTTAAACTGATTTCGTCCTTCTGAGACAGTGCTCTCTACAGTACACTGCTCTCCTTTATCCAGGCCACTCCTCCTCCTGCTCTGCTCAGCTTGTCCGTGTGCCTGGGCTCTTCTCTGATGCCAGTCACTGTCCAGTCTCCAGTACAGACCCACCCTATGCATCTCCTGCTCTGTCCACTGCAGGCCTAATGTTTTACCTCGTAGCTACTCATTTATCATTTCTTTCAACTCCACGGGGCAAGCAAAGATAGAAATGCGAGGGAGTTAGAAAATGGGGAGTGAGCGGGTGCTCTGTCCTTGTTATGCCAGGGTTAGAGATTTGCACAGGACACAGCCAGAGGAAGGAGAGCTTCCACAGCAGCCTGGTACTGGCAATCAAACTCTGGTCCTTGTGCTTGCGAAGTAGGAGGGGGAACCACTGAGCTAAATCCCCAGCGTCTCTGGATGACTGAATGATAAAGGAAAACAAACATTGCCTCAGCTGCTGGCATTTGTCATTTGGAATTTCCAAATTCGAAGCCCATCCTCTGCTATCCGCGCTAAGTAACTAAGCAAGGCAAACAAAACCTCTGCCGGAAGCCACAGATTCTCGCCTGATGGTAAAGCCTGCTGTTAAAACAGAAGCGGGCCAGCCAGGCGCAAAAACGTTTGCAGAAGCAAACAGACCAAGAGTATAAAATTCACCACGATTATGTCTCAAACGAATGACTGAAATTTACCGTATTCTGTTGTTAAATTCCTCTACAAAAACTCAAAGGCATCGCCCAAGTAGCGTTTGCTATCCCTTCAGTTTAACATACTTATTTCTTTACTACATCTTTGCCTTGAGAGGAACCAAAAGAAAACCTTTTTCTTTCACCCCTTGTTTTTCAACAGAAAACATATTGCTGGCCCTAAGTAGAGATGAGACTAAAGAGGTGTAGGAAGTCTAAATGCCCCTCCATCTATAAATGGCGTGAACAGCAGAGGGACGGCAGGATTCTGACATCAGACAGAGCAAGACTGGGCTTGGGCCAGACGTGGGCGGGGGAGAGAAGGGCCTTCCCCTCTGACTGCTCACAAGGGCTACTCCTTCATGGACCTTCCCAAAGCCGCTCAGTCTCGCCTGTCACTACTGCTTTTACTGTCTTCTCTTCAGACTTCCCAACACTTGCGGAGGGAGAACACACTCACGAGGGAAAACCAACCCTGGCCATATTCAGTCAGGGTTATTACAAGAGAAAAGGACGACACCTCATGCAGAGCCCTAGGCACAGATCGGGAGCTTAGTCGGTGTCGGCTCTGTCCCCCAGCCTTCCTCGTCTTACTTACTGATATCCGATGTCACAAAAATCTCGTCTGTCCATGTGAAAGGACTGTATCCCCCTGATGCGAAGCAGGCAGTCCGTGGAGACATTGCAGCCCACCCCGGCGGTGTGGATGATGACGGCGTACTTGGCGGGGAGGCTCATTGGAGGGCAGTGCGTCTCTCGGGCTTCCCAGGCAGACCGGGGGATGATGTTGGGGCAAGCTGGGGTGCAGCGAGAAAGCGAGAGAATGAGGGCCTGCCTTTGGCCCCCATGAGCAGTCTCAGGACCTCGGGCTGGGCTGCGCCTCACTCTTTGCCCAATGGCCAGCACTTCCTAGCGGGAACTTGACTGCGGGAGTCTGGGAGGCCCTGGGGAGACTTCTGGGTCTGGTCACTGGGGCCAGGGCTAGGGTTGTGGTAACTGCAGAAACCTGCGTCTCAGTGGAACAAGATGCTGGCCAGGCAGAGGGGAAGCCATTGTCTTCAACAGACAAGAGCTCCCACGGATTGACATCTGCATTACACGTGTAGGACAGAAGTATGCACGTTAGGGAGCAGGGCTGGCATCAGAGGTCTCGCTCTCTCTGAACTAATCACATGTGTATGAACATACCCTGAAACCTACAAAATGCTCGACAAATACTAAGGAGTTGTCATCATTGAAGATTGTACCAGCCCCAAAGCAAGAAAAACTTGATTTTAGAGATTTAGAGTGTTCAAAGTGAATTTAAAATACCACTGAGTCCCAGGAAAGCATGCTCTAAGCACAGACATTTAAACCATGGGTAGTGCTTATTAATTTTATGGATTTTAAGGTGTTAGTTGTTCTTTCCAAGACAGTACATCATTTTTATTACTCAGCCTTTTGGAATATGCAACATAACCTGTGAATTCAAGGTTTTCTCAGCGCCGTGGGCATTTGCATGTTGGCTAGTTTTTGCAATTAGAAAGGTGTGTGTTTGTGTGTGTGTGTGTGTGTGTGTATCTAAATATAGTCACACAAATATGTGACTATGTTTATTCCACTCCATTCCCACGCACCGTTTTTTCCATAGTTTCTGTGCCACCCAACATCACACGTATTTCCCTTGTGGCTTGCTCATTCTCTGACTCTCCTCACTAAGGCATGAAGTCTCTGAAGGTGGGGAGTGTGTCTGCTTTATTAACAGCTGTATGCTCAGTACCTTGGTGAGCACCTGCTAGTCTGTCAATATTTGTTGACTGAAAAATCTGTGCACAGGCACAGGCACGCACACACACGCCCACGTATTTGTGTTAGGAACGAGTCCGTGGAAATCCTATTCTAGTGGAATGGAGAGGAGCCAGGAAAGCGACTTCTCAGAATTTTCTGAGTCCCAAAGTTATGAAATGCACTAGAAGTTCTTCACAAAAGAACCCAAAAGGAAAGCGAGCACTCCCAGCTGTGGCTGTGTGAGGAGGTGTGGGAGGGTGAGGTGGGTCTTACCTTTACTGGGTATCACTGGATGTTGAGAGCCCAAGCAGATCTCTTCTTTCAAGAGATGCGGCTGAATATACCTGGGTGACAGGTGACCGTTCTGGATGGCAGAGGAGATCAGGTCCTCTGCAGCTGATAAGGCAGCTGGGCTGGGACTGCTGCCTTAAAGAGGACGGCAGGGAGCACAGGACTGTCAGTAAGGAACCCCAAGAGAAGAAACTGGTCCAAAGGCCAGAGCAGAGGGCCTAAGACACGAGTATTACGCTGGACCTTGCGCTCTCAAGGCAAGTGGTGGCACCACTGAGCTAAATCCCTCACTGCACAGAGTTCTTGACTGCAAAAGTTGGTAACCCCTTCCAAGTGCCAAAATGGGCTTTATTTATCAACTCCAACTCTAGATAGAAAGACCAAGAGGAGTCCCACCTGACCAAGTCAAGTGTGCTCCAACATGGGGAACATGGCAGTATCCACTAAGTTGCTGTCACGATCAGGCACTCTTCTGTTTCTCAGGGAGCCAGAGGCCTACAAACTACATCTCCCAGAATTCCTTGCCTGCCAGCTTCTGGTTATTCTCCACCCAAAGAAGACACCAGAAGAAGAGAAAAGCCAGCCACCGTTCTTCTCTGCCTCTGACAGCCACAGCATCTATGTCAGACAATGTCAGGCTCCAGAAGTAGCGGCAGTAACTGAGCTCAGGCAATGTCCGTGGTGGCTTCAGCAGTATCACGGAAGTACAGACCAGGGAAGAGGAAGAGGCCAAGAAGTACCGGAGATACAGTGGAGAGAAGAATTTCAAAAGGAGGGTGATTATTAGAGAAGACAGGTATGATGTAGGCTGAAAAGACGATGTGAAACTAGGGTACGGAGGAAGAATGCAGGGCTCTCTCCAGCTAAGGGCTCACAAGAATGGCCATTACCTATCCTACTGCCAAAGAAGGCGATGCCCAGGGAGACGTTGTTGTAGCCCTGGGTGTGCAGGCCGTGGACATCCCAGCCGACGCCTTCATACACCCTGCCGTCATCCCCGACCAGGAAGCTGTGCGGTGAGGAAATTTGGGTCAGAAGATGAATCTCTACAACAGAACACTTCACACTGATGCTCAAAAGGTAAACAGGCTTTAGCGGCTTGTAAATAAAGCACTCTGCTTCGATAACATGACAATGGGGGGCGGAATAACCAACTTCAAACCTCCAAGAGACAGGATTTAGACGTCGGTGTCTGGAATCACTGGAGATACGCGGCTGAGGTAGGCAGTGCGGAGGTAGGCAGTGCCACGGTGACACCGCAAGGGGGCAGCAGAGCGAGCAGTGGCAGGGGGAGCAGAGAGGCTGGAGAAGCCATTTATCTCTGCCTTTAAAATTCTGTGAGGGAAGACCTCCATTTCTCTCCCTCTCTCTCTCTCTCCCTCCCTCCCTCTTTCTCTCTCTCTCTCTCCTTCCCTTCCTCCCGTATCATCTTCAGAGTAGACACTCAATGCACAATGCAAAATTCTTTCGTGCCCCGAAATTGTTTGAACATGGTGCTGTGCTCCTCACCGTCCCACGCCCCCTTCACCCCCTGTCTTCCTGTCAAGATGGCCATCCGGAAGGGTAAGCAAGTGGAGACTGCTTCACAGGATGCCAGCCCTGTGGGAGGAGCAGGAGACAGAACTGGGCTGACAGGCGTTCTCAGAAGTGTTCCTGGTCTGTGTTTCCTTGCCGTGTGCCACTTACCACAACTTCTTCAATCTCTCTACACCGTGGCACACCTGTGAAATGAGGGTGGTGATATTTCTGCCGCCCATTCCCCCAGTAGCAGGGGGCTCATCCGGGTGCTATATTTGAAAGCCTTTGTGAACTGTGTCATCTGTTAAGCTGCCAGGGGTGACCGTAGCTATTTTATTTTATTTTGGTACTGGGTATCGAACTCCAGTCCTTGTGCTTGTGAGCAGGTGGTGGCACCTCTGAGCTAAATCCCTGGCCAGTGACCGTAGCTATTACATAAACCTCCTTGACTCCTTTTAGGAGTCCCAGGGTCAAAGACCACTTCCTTAAATGCCTCAGAGTTGTCCCTCCTGATGATTTTTGGAGCACTGTAGATTTCTTGCTTGATTACTTTTCAACACATTTTATTTTTGTCTATTCTGAAAGCAACATAAATGAGGCTCCCCCAAAATGGAGGAGCAGAGGAGGGGATGTGGGACGCAGCCTAGGAGAGGTAACTTTCGATGGGGGCTGACCGACTTCTTACTTGAAGGCCAAGTCACACCAGCCTTTGGCGTGGACAGAATGAGACTGCAGACCCCTTAGCAGCTGGCTGCAGACGCTCTGCTCCTGGCACTCCATTCCTGTGAGCTGCTCCGTGATGAGATAGGGCACAGGTGGGCTCAGCCGAGCCCTGCAGCTGAGTGGTCTTGATCCCCATGTACTGCGGGAGACCATGGCGGGAGCACCTGCAGGGGAGACCACAGGTGGCATGCAATAGTCCCTACCTCCAGAGGGGCCCCAAGGGGCGGCTTTCACCCCCCCACAGCCTCCCCATCTCGTCTCCACAGCCCTCTTTGGGCTCAGCAACACTCAGACGGACTGTGCTAAGCCTGGGAGCCAAGTTGCCTTCTCCCCAGACTCTCCCTCCTTGTGTTCCCTGGAGGACAAACCCCATCTTCCCTTCTTTTCTGGCTTCCTCCATCTCTCTCTCTTTAGAAAGCATCCCTAGTTGACACCCCACACCCAGCCCGGGAAGCACATCAGCTTGGATGCCTGAGGCTCTTCTTCCTGGTCTTGGACCCTGGGTCTCTGCCTCTCTCTTGGGCACTCTGCTCAGAATGGTGGAGCTACAATATCCTTTAGCGAAGGGAGAGCCCTGGGCTGATTCTGTTATTCAGTTTAAGGAAAGTCGCTCCCCCAACCCCAAAAGCATTTCTGACACAAGGACAGAAGACTCACCCCAGACCTGAAGACTCAGAGCAGAGAAGACAAGAAGCCAGGGCAGCATCCTCAGTCTTGTCCCGGGACGCCGACAGGGAGAGTGTGAATGTCGCCAGGGAGGGCAGTGACCCTGGAGAGACCCTGGCAGTGAACACAACCATGCTCACTCCTCAAACCGAGCACCCACCTGCTGCCCAGTGCCCCCGCCTGCCCGCTCTCCACGCTGTGGCCTCTTGAGGGCAGCACCTGGCTCAGGCTCACGTTCCTTCTGCACACAACAGTCACATCACCTGATCACATTAACGTCTGTTTCTAGCTGCCCATCTCCTCAGCTACCTCCTGCTGCCCCAGGGAGCTCCTGGCCCCTCGGAGGAGCCAGTTTCTGATCTTAGGTCTTCCAGGATGGATAATAACAATTTCCAAAACCCTTCAGTAGCTGCTAGGAATAAACTCTCTGCAGATATCTGCGTATCCAGTGCCAACATTGTAGTGTTCCTAAAATCCCTGTAAGATGGGCATTCTGAGTCCCATTGTTAAGAGCACACTGATGCTCAGGATGAATGACAAATAGAGGCAGGCTTGGTCTCCATCCCCTGCATTGTTAGAAAATCAGAGGTGCTCAGTCACCTGAATCAGTTCCTCTGCAAAGATCCCTGGCAGACACCCAGCAAACCCCTTCTTGAACAAAAATGAAAACACCAGTAGTTACCACTTACTGGCCCCAGTCTATGGCTGGGTGTTTGGTGAGGGCTCCACAGACATCTCAGTAAGGCTCGCAGTGACCTCTGAGCCCATAATTACCCCCAGAAAGCTGCAATTCAAAGGACTTAAGTCAAGGACAAAGCCTACGCCTCCTCCCCAGGCGTGTCTGACTCCAGAGCCTCTGCCAGGAGCTTCACAATCTGCCAGAGTGCCATCAGTGGAGTTTCTCAGTGTGCCCTCACAGGTAAAACCACAGGATGGCGAGGATCCTCCTTAGCTCTTTCAGGCAAAGATAAATTGCTGAATCAACATGAAATATCAAGTCTGAGTTGTCAACCAAAATACCGTTTCCCCCAGTTGAGGAATAGAAAATCCTCCTCCTCCTCCTCCTCCTCTTCCTCCTCCTCCTCCT